AGCAGGAAGGGGAAGGTGAGCAGCCCCAGGACTTCCAGGGTCAGAGAGCCCAGCAGAGTCTGAAACAAGTTTCCTGGATGAAAAATTCTTTTGAGTAAATATTAATCAGCACTTAATACCCCCACAGCCACCTCAGTCATCGGGACAGGCTTCTGCAGCGCGAGTGGTATACTTGGCATGGGCAACACGCTCTGGGGCTCTCTGGGAGTGTCAACTGCTAGGAGTGAGCAGATAACAAAAGCCAGTGCCCTATTTTGTATTCAGTCTTTGCCCAACTTAGTGCAACTCTCCCCGTGAATACCAGGTAGGACTGATTAGGATCCTGGTATCAGAGAGGTGGACCCTTGTCCACTGGTCCACCAGATAAGCTAGCAGTAATATCCAGATTTCAGATCTTGACTAGATCTGAGTCAGGTTTACTGAATGTTTTGCTCTTCCACACACAAGAAAAGAGATTTAACTTCTGACAACTGAGCAAGAAAGTTTTTTGGTTTTGAATGAGCTCTTCTGTGTCCAGAGGGCAGAAGAGGAGGAAGATCCCAGACTCCTTGACTTTGTCCCTCACAGCAGCTCCCATAAGGAGAGGCTAGAAGAACCTCTCGCTCTCTCCTCTTGTTCAAGGCTGAGAGCTCTACCCCTGGCAGAGCACCTCCCTTTGCCAGAGGATGAGGGGACTTTGCTTTATTCAGGGCAGGGCAAGGGCAGTACTGACAGACAAGAGCTGTGAATAAAAACTCTGAGTCTGCACTCTGCTGCAGGATTGTGAGGCACGCATTTCTGACTCCTCTATGAGTACCCAGGATAAGAAGAGTTAATCCGCTGCATTTATGGAAAGGAGAATTTGCTACTTCCCACCCCTCACCACCCCAACAGCTGCAGAGTTCACTCAGAGTTGGGCGAGGAAAAAGAATTATTGCTCAAATCCTCTGACCTAAGCCCTTTGCTGGGGAAAGTGGTGTCAGGTAGAGTTACAGGCAATTCCAGCTCAGTGATTTGGGATGTGCCTCTGGCTGACAGACACTTACCTGAGCTTTCACCTGGTTGTAACAGTCTGGGCAATGTGTGTGCTCACAATTGGGCCCCTCAAATCCTGGGTTACAAATGCAGCTCCCGTCACTGCGACATGTTTGGGGCTCAGAACCTATCGAGTTGCAGTTGCAGGCTGCAGGGCAAAGCAAAGGGCAGGAGGGAGCAACAGGTCAGACAGATCCCAGGGCACAGGGAAGGCAAACACAGCAGCTCTCTCAATTACATGTCTCTGTCCTAGCCAGGATGTTTCTTTCTTTCTGCCTCTCTTAACATCTCACCCTTTTCCTAGAGGCATGAAGAACTTGCCTTTGACCCATGCGCTGGCCCACACACATCTGTCCACCTCCCATTCTGGATAGAATAAGCCCAGAAAGAAAATTCCACTCAAGCCTGCTGCTCGAGTCACTCTTGACCTAAACGTCAATGCCCCCCAAAACATCTAATTCTATTTCACAGAAGTCTAAAAGGAAAGTAATAGGGTCACAGGACCTAGTGCTAGATACTAGTGACGCTTCTGTCTCTAACCTAAGACACACTAGGGTATCTCCAGTATGCATCCATTGCCCTTCATAACCCCTGGGTGAAGGACAAGAAGAAATCAGAACTATTTGCAGCCCAGATTTAGTTTGGATATTAGGAAAACTTTTCTAAGAGTGAATCACAGGGTCAGGTTACAGACTGGATAAACCCCTGTTGGGTTGGCCTAGGGATGATCTAAGCATGCTCAAACTTGCATGAACTCAGAGGGGAGGACCAGATGACCTTGAGAGGTCCTTCCCAACCCTTCATTTTTTTCATTCTGGGATTGTGTGAAGCATTAGTGTGGCCATTGCCTTCCAGCTAGCTGAAACTCCTCCAGCAGTCTCAGTCTAACATTTGCCCATTCACTCATAACATGTTAACCTGTAGCACTGCTGCGTGAGGGTATATGTGCTTCATTCAGGATGTGGCTGCTTCAAGGGGGGCTGAAGCAGCTCTTGTAACAGAGGCAGTATGATGCTCTCTGGGCCCCTTGGACATGGCTGCGGAAGCCCATCCTCAACGCTGGACTTGACAGTTCCTAACCTGTCCTTTTAACCCCCTCAGTAGAAAACACCTCCCAAACGGCCCTAGGAAACTAACATTTGCATATATATCTACACTGTTCACTGGCTCCTGGGAGCCATTCATGGTGCCGAGTCATCACAAGATTCTGGTCTTCCTGCAAAATTTTCAGCTCTAGGAAGGATAGAAGCAGCATCACATGCAAACAGGCTCTAACACAGGTGTGTCCCCCTGGATTATGGTTGTACCTCGACACTTGTCTTCTGGGTTGGAGGCTAAGGGGTTCCCAAAGAACCCATCTTTGCAGCGATCACAGTGGAAGCCAGCTGTGTTGTAGAGGCACTTCAGGCATTCACCCGTTAGTCTGTTACAGTTCCCCACAGCATTGGGATCGATGTTCCCGTTACACTGGCAGGGCTGGCAAGGCTTTGCAGGGCCATTTCTACCCAAGAGGTCTCCAAAATAGCCATCTTCACAGAGTTCACATGCAGAACCTGGGGAGGGAGAAATGGACGCCACATGGTTACACCTCCACAAAAGGAACTTGCTCCTCTCTCATGCACAGAAAAGCCAGATTTACATTCTTGGAGCCTTGGAGGCAAACACTCTCAGAAAGTCCATCTCTTTCCATCCCAGATGAGGGGAGAGAAGGACTGTGACAGCCTCTCCTCAGGGAAAGGAAGAAATCTTGAGACAAAAGTATCAGATGCATCTTGAGAGAAAAAGCCCTTGTCTAGGCCACAGGGCTGGGGTCCAGAAGACCTGGGCTGTAATCTCAGGTCCGCCCCTGAGCTATCGAATGACCTGAAGCAATTCACTTCACCTCTCTGTGCCTCTGATCCCCCTTGCCCGTGGTCTGTTTTACCTATTTGGATTCCAAATTTTCCAGGGCAGGAGCGCTCCCATACTGCGTGGTTCTACAGCACCTTGCACAGCAAGACCCTGGTCTCCGTGCAGCTGTACCACAAATAGTAAATAGATCAGGAAACCAGACTGAAAAGACAGGTGTATTGCAGCCTACCTGTCCTGAATCACACGCTCCTGTATTAGCCAGAGAGAAATCCTATTAATTCACAGCACACTGGAAGCACACGTGATACTCTATGGAGGGTGGCAGGCTCATTCTTCCCTCAGCACCTTCCCACCCATCCCCAGGGGAAGCACAACCCTGGAAACTGGCCCAGAGCGAGGATGTTACCGGTGACTCCTGCAGGGCAGTTATGGCAGGTGACTTCCTTCGTGTCTGGCACCATCGAGCAGCCCTGTCCTTTGCTGCATGGGCACCGCTGGCAGCTCTGTGGATTTCGGGGATCTCTGTAGTAACCAAGCTGGCAGCTGGTACGGGGGTCAGTGTATGCATCTCCTGAATGACATTCTCCTGGGGGAGACAGAAGAAAAGGTACTGTGACTATGATGCTGATCTATCCTCACTCACATGGCCCCTGCTCCTCTGGTGCTGGTCAGCACAGCCTGGCACTGCCACTACACTTGTGGGATGAGACTTAATAGCCCTCTAACCTGAGGCAAGGATCTCTTTGCTCAGGACCATTTCCTACAGCCTGTACCCCCTTACCCACTAGAAAACAACCCCCTGTCTGGGACCTACTGCTGATCTATGTAAAAGAGCACAATTCCTCACTGTCCCCATAGCCTGGCTCATGTCATTATAACCAACAAACTCTCTACCCCATTTACAGGACTTGGCACTAGCCCTCCCCTCCATAACTCAACACAGTCCTTTGTAGCCTGGAGCAATGTTCACTGGCCCAGTCAACAGAAGAGGGTCTATAGAACGGTGCTATGATGCTATGTACTATAGCTTGACAAGAGGTGACAGTACTCCAGCTGGGAAGCTGTGCTAAGCGTAAGCACAATCTGTAATTATCTGAATTGTGATGGTACCTGACAATAGCAGAAATCTGTAGCTAGATGGTTTACTCAGAGCTCCCCCTAAGCATGGGATATTCCTGATAAAGACCTATAGGTCTTAACTGCACATGGCAGTGTTCTCCAGATCCCAGTGCTACCTGGCATCACCTAACCTTGTGCCCAGAGCTGGCCAGAAAACTGGATTTCTGCTTTCTGGGAAATATGGACATCCCAAGCCACAGTTTTGGTCTGAATCAGAATGAAACCTGAAACTCCAAAATGGCAGCAGAACACAAATTCTGAAAACAGTGATTTGGGGCGCTCCAAATGTGCAGGTCTAGCAAGGAAAAAAACATTGCTGCACCTAGTAGCGTGGTTATTTCATTTAGACCAGGGATGTCAAATACCTTGACTGTGGGTTGCATGCAACCTGCAGAGCCTCTGTTGGGCCCATTGGGCTACTGGAGGTCACCAGAAGTTGGGCTCTTTGGCCCCATTGAGCATAGCCATCAGCCCGCTGGACTCTAATGCCTGCTGCCCCTGCTGGACCCTGTGTGCCTGCATCCAGCAGACCCTGCACTACCCCCACTCCCACCAGACCTTACACTGCCTCCACTGCTGCTGGACCCTGAACTGCTCCCAGTCCCACCAGACCCTGCACTGCCCCTGCTAGACCAGGCGTGGGCAATTATTTGGGCCCGAGGGCAATACAGGGAGTTTTGATGATCTGTCATGGGCCAGGACAGCATCCCCCTCCTCCCCAACAACAACTTGTCAAAAGTCCCTATGGGGCTATGGGCAGGCAGGGAGCAGTGTTCAGGAGTGGGAGAGGTGGGTGAGGTTGGGATCATATGTCCCTTCCCTCTGAGGTGTGTGGGTGGAGATATGTAGGGGGGGGCTGCCTGGACACTAGGTCCTGGGACCTTGCTGTGGGTGAAGGGAGAAAGAAGGCAGGGGGCACATGCAGCAGAGCTTGCCCAGGCAGTGCAGTCCATGCTGCCCCCGCAGCGCTCTGCTTGGGGCCGAGCCTTACTCACTCATGCTGCGGCTGCCCATGCTGCATTCCTTCTGGTGCCCATTGCCTGGCTGGGTGCTGCTCTGCTCCCCACACCTCACAGGAGTCACCTGGCTGAAGCTGCTCACCTGCAATGGCATGGCGCAGCACAGCAGGAGCAGCTTCCGGAGGGCTGTTCCCAACATGGCTGCAACCAGTTGGGTGCTGCACTGCACCCTTCACCTCCAGCAGCAGCTCCTCCTGCTGTACCACACCACTCTACTCCTGGCAGGCGAGCTGGGTTCCAGCTTCAGCTCTTGGACATCTTCCACTGGGAGCCAGCTGGAATTTGAAGCCAAAGTCCCACATGCTGGGGCAGAAGCCGCCTGGCTGAAGCTGCTCACCCAGAGCAGTGTGGCAGGGCAAGATCAGGGGCAGGAGCCGCTGCTGGAGGTGAGGGGCACAGAGCAGTACGCAGCTGCAGCCATACCAGGAACAGCTTGCTGGAAGCTGTGTGTACTGGCTGGGGCTAGGCTGTGGGCACTGGCAGGAACCCAGAGCAGACTGCCCCAGTGTGAGTGGTCAGGGCATGGCTCCATGTGGAGTGCCATGGGCTGGAAACAGCCCGTGGGCCATATTTTGCCCATCCCTGTGCTAGATCCTGTGCAGCCACTGCCACAGCCACTGTGGGTGACTATGGCAACCCTCATGGCTTTGGTTGGATCTGGCCCAGGGGCCCCAGATGAGTTTGACATCCTTACTTTAGACTAATATCAAAATATTCATAAATGGTATTACATGTAAAAGTGAATGCTTTACTGTGATGCTAAACATTTCGCTCTCTCCAAACATTGATACAAGCCTTCTCTTTGAAACTGACACATTTTTTAATACATTCAAGGATGTTTTTTTCCTCCACATTCCCCACCCCCCCCCCTTTTTTTTTAACAAAAATCCCCTCT